CGACACGGGGATTTTGAAGCGGCTGACTTTTTTCAGCCTTCCTCACCCCCCCTTGTGAACCTTTTGGGACGTTGGGCTTCCTATGCGTCTGTCAGCGTCGCCGAGGCGGGCGGCGCGCGGTAGCAAAAGCGCCGCCCACGCATTGCAGCAGCTAGCCCGCGAGGGCGCGCGCGGGAAGATTGAAGGCGACATGACTTGATGTATCTGGTCAGAACGAACCGTTTACATTGGGGGCCCTGGGACTCCGTAGTATCTCTTCGGCTCTCGCCCGCCATTTCCTTTCTCGCTCGCATTGCGCCGCCCAGGCTTTCCATGCGTCTGTAAGCTGACGAGCGGCGCGTGGTAGCAAAAACGCCCCCCACTTAATGCAGCAGCTAATCTGCCTATAATTTCACCCTTTGGCAGTTTGGCGCTCTTATGAAGTCCGATGAGACTTGGCATTTGGCGCGGGGGGGATTGCGGCCCCCGCGGAGTGCCCGGGCTTTCGCCCGCCTGGCAAATGCTCTCACTGCGATTTCCTCACCGTGCTCCTTGGCCCTTCTCGCCCTGGTCCGATGGTGCATGTTGTTTCTCCTCGTCGCCAGCCCTGGATCCGGGCGCCCTGTTCCGCCGTTGCCGTCTGAGGAGGTGCGCGCCCTGGCGGGCCTGTCTCGCAGAGCGGGGGGCGCGGTCAGCAGTCGTTGCCGCGAGCAGCTCGCCTCCTCACTGGCCGCCCCCATGGAAGATGCGGTTCCCTCTCGCCAGCGTGCTCGGCAAGTGGCTGCTGACATCAGGAGTTCAGCATGCTCGTTCGGTGGCGCGCTGAATGCGAGGAGCAGAACGTGGCGTTGCAGCGTCGATCCGAGCTCGACGCTGCTGGCAGGTTGTATATGGACACCGTTCAGGAGATTGCTCCCGCTACCCTGCCCAAGGCTGCGCCTGCTATGCCCCTGCACGTGGGCGTCGAGGACTTGCGCGGGGGCAAAGTTGAGTTCGAGTCCATTTTTCCATGTGGGCATCCCGTTCGACGGGCAGAAGGAAGTCGAGAAGTTCGGACCCGCGCCAGAAGACGAGACCTGGCTTGCCAATCGCGGGCAGACCATGTCCGATGCTATTAAGGAGATCGCGCCAAAAGCTCTCCAAGGGCGCCCTCGACACCTCGGCCGCTGCATAAGATGGGCACGATGCCCACAGGAGCACGTTCACGAGAAAGAAACGCAAGACCGTGGAAGGTGCTGTCGTTGGAGGGGAGGGTCAGTCAGAGTCTGCTCTTTCTCCCGCGGGTGCTGGCGACGCTGCGCGCCCTGCTGGCGCCGCAGGTTCGGGCCGCCCCCCCCCGCCAGCCGCCGAGTCTTCAGGCCCCGCTGCTGGGCCAGAGCCACCTGGAGAGGACATCCGGAAGTGGGCGGACCGCCTGCTGTCAGGGGCGCCCCCACACCGCGGTGCCAACTGCGGCGCGAGGGTGTGGCTGGCCACATGCATGTGCGCAATTGGCCTTCAGGTTCGATTGTGTCATGTCTGACCTGCTCGGCTTCGGCATCTTCAGGACCTGCTTTTGGGCTCGCGGTTGCAGCCCCTTTCTGGTCGCAGCCTTTTTGCCGCCGCGGCGGCCCCGGCGTCCTGGGGCCCCGCCGCCGCGCAGTCGGGGGGCTCGGTGGGGGAGCTGCCACATCTTGTTGCCCAAGCTGCGGCCCGTCCTGCGTCTCCATCGTCTATGCTTGCAGACGCTTGCCCTCGTCTGTGCCTGTCGGAAGGAGCTCCCCCTCTCTCGTTTTTTGCGCTTCTCACAACGTTTCAGGGCTGGCTTCTGAGAGGCTTTCTTGGCAGTCCAGGGACTCGTTTGTCTGTCATCTTCCATCTCCACCCTGCGCTGGGGCAGGCGAAGAAATTCTGCGTCAGGATCAGGTGCTGCAGGTGCTGAGCAGCCCAGTTCGCTACCAGAGCTTGCAGCCATCTTTGGCGAATTGACAGCTGGCGCTGCAGCCGCTATGTGTGATTGGGTGCAGTCCAAGCCTGTGCCGCCGCTGCTTTTTCGCTGCACGAGTGCTGCCAGCAGACGTGCGACGGGCGCGTGCCCATTTTTCTTTTTCCCGCGTTTGTCCAGTCTAACTAAGCCTGTGCCTTACTCTCCGGCTGTGCTTCCAGAGCCCGAGGCCCCCGTTTCGTGGCCCCCCCAGGTCCTGGCTCTTTCGAGGGCGAAGACGACGACGAGAATGACGACGACGACGACGACGGCGACGGCGACGACGAATACGACGACGACGAGGACGACGACAGCGACGACGACGGCAACGACGACGAAGATGACGAAGACGTCGACGATGCCGACGATGACGAAGACGACGATGGCGGCGACGAGGACGACGACGACGACGAGGACGAGGACGGCGACCACGACGACGAAGACGACGACGACGAGGTCGACGACGACGACGACGACGGCGAAGACAAGCCTTTGACAACAACCACGACGACGAGAACGACGACTACGACGACGACGACGACGACGACGACGACGGCGACAAGGATGGCGATGACGACGTCGACAAGGACAACGACGACGACGAAGACGACGACGACGACGACGACCAGGACGACGATGACGACGACGGCGAAGGTGGCGACGGCGACGACGACGAAGACGGCGAGGAGGAGGACGCGGCGACGACGACGACGACGACAAGGACGACGACGGCGAAAACGACAACGACGAAAACGACGACGATGGCGACGAGGACGACGAGGGTGACGACGACGACGACGACGACGACGACGACGACGACTACGGCGACGCCGACGACGACGATGACGATTAACACGGCGACGACGAAGACGACGACGACGAAAACGGCGACGACGACGAGGACGACGACGAGGACGACGATGGCGACGAATACGACGACGAGGACGATGACTACGACGAAAACGGCAACGACGACGATGGCAACGAGGACGACGACGAAGACGGCGACGACGAGGACAGCGCTGAGGAGTACGCTGGCAACGGAGACGACGACCGCGACGACAGAAACGAGGTCGAGGACGACGACGACGAGGACGGCGACGACGACGACGACGACGACGAAGACGGCGACGACGACGAAAATGGCGATGACGACGACGAAAACAGAGAGGACGACGACGAAAACGGTGATGACCACGACGACGACGACGACGACGACGAAGAGGGCGACGACGAGAACGACGACGACGAAGACGGCGACGGCGACGACGACGACGACGACAACGACGACGAGGAGGAGGACGACGACGACGACGCCGGCGAAGGCGGCGACGACGACGAGAAGGCCGAGGACAACAACGACAACGATAGCGGCGACGACGACGACGACCACGACGACGAAGACGGCGACGAAGACGACGTCGGCGACGAAGACGACGACGACAACGACAACGGCGAGGACGAAGACGACGACGACGACGAAGACGAGGACGACCACGACGACGAGGACGATGACGACGACGAAGACGGCGACAACGACGACGACGAGGACGGCGAGGACGACGACGACGACGTCGAAGCCTAGAACGACGACGACGAAAATGGCGGCGACGACGACGAAAATGGCGACGACGACGAGGAGGTCGAGGACGACGACGACGACGACGACAAGGATGGCGACCACGACGAAGATTGCGACGACTACAACGACGACGACGACGACGACGGCGACGACGACGACAAGGACGACGTCGACGACGAAGACGAATACGACGACGAGGAGGATAGCGACGACGACTAGGAGGACGATGATTATGACGACGACGACGAGGACGACGACGGTGACGACGCAGACGGCGACCACGACGACGACGAAGTCCAGGACGATGACCACGACGAGGACGAGGACGAAAACGGCTACGACGACGACGACGACGATGGCGGCGACGAGGGCGACGACGACGACGACGACAACGACGACGACGAAGACGGCGACGACGACGAAGACGACGAGGATGAGGAAGATGACGACAAAGTCGACGACGACGAAGACGACGACAACGAAGTGGATGACGACGACGATGATGCTAATGATGAAGGCGACGATGTCGACCAGGACGACGACAGTGACGACGACGAAGACGGCGACGACGCAGACGACGAAGAAGGCGACGACGACGACGACCACGACGTCGACGAAGTCGAGGACGATGACGACGGCGACGAAGACGAGGACGACGACAACGTCGACGAATCAATTCGAAACGATGTGGCTTGCTGGCTCTGAAGGCGAGACGCGGCATAAACGTCAACTGCTGGAGCTCTGCGCGGATTGCTTGGACTGGACTGAGACCCCTGGCAGCGCTTGGAGCGCCCTTCCAAGAGGGACCAGCGAGGCGGGTCCAGCGCCGATCCAAGAAATCCGCGCGGAGCTCCGACAGTTTATGTTTATGCAGCCTCTTTTTCCCCTACATTCGCTTCGATGCGCTCCGATTCGCTGGCTGAGGCCGCGATGATGTTTCGATTCGACGTGGTTCGAGTGACAGGCATGGGGATGTGCCGGCCGGAGCCGGGCGTGGCGATCCGATGTTGATCGATTCGGAGCGATGCGCTGGCGATCCCATCCGATCCGTTTCCGATCCGACCCGACCTTGCGATCCGATCCAGCTCGTGCCTGCCTGCGCACGAGGTCCACTTCTGGCCATTCTGCGTGCACGCCATTTCGCGACGAGCCACAAGAGGGTGGGTGTGGCCAGGCTCTCCATGATCGCCCGCGACCCAGGCGGCCCGAAGCACAGTGGCACAGGGCTGGACATGCATGCGGGAGTGCTGGTGGTGGGGGGCAGCGGTGCAGTCAAGACGCTGAAGCAAGGAACACTGGGGGTTCGGGAGGGGTTCACTGTTTTTCAGGTCCTTCTGTAGTTGTCAATCTGGCACGTTCGTGCACCGAGGCGCTTCTGGGACCAGAGGCGCTCCGTGCCTTACTCAGCATTCCTTGTGGCAGCAGCTTGGCTGTAGTGAGGATCCAGCAAAGGTATTTGCCTCCCTTTGGCAACAGGCGGTCGATGGAGCATCAGGAGCTGTGCGACTACGTTCAGGCGGGGGCGCGCCAAGGGTGAAAAACAGGTGTGTATGGTTGGCCGACCACTCTTCGTAATTTCACATCTGCCTACCTGTCCTGGTTCGCTTGCCTCGCCCCATCCTGTTGCCGAGCCTCACCTCCTTCTAATTTCGCTGCTGCTGCCCTGCTGCTGCCCTGCTACAGTTTGTCCATTCCTCCTTCTCCTCGTCCTGTCCACATCCTCCCTTTCCGTTCCGGTCTTCCACCCGCCAGGGAGAAGTTGCCGTGGGCCCGATACGGGGCCACGCTCTTTCTCATCGCCCTCATTTCTTCTACGTTCTCCCCTCGCCGTCCTCGATGCTCCCGTTTCCCTCTTCCATGCCTCCCTCCCCTCCTCCCCGTCTCCCCTTGCCTCCCTCCTCCCCCGTTCCTCCTTCGGCTACACGTCTGACCGTTCGCCAGAGTGACCTTCGGTGCGGGCACACTGGGGTCCCCAGATGGCTGAATGGGCATCGTGATCGGCACAACATAATCCAACAATATCATCGTGGGCAGCACGACGGAGTCCAGCGCCACCACAATGAGTTGCGCGGCAGGGTCCAGCAACGCCATTGCGGGCACCACCAAGAAAACAGGGGCATCGCGGGAGTTAGAACGCAAAGAATTGAGGAAATCCCCGAGGAGGGAAATGCCTCAGGCATGCAGTCGTCACGTACAGGACGCAAACCAACGAGGTGAGGCTACCCGAGTGAGACCCACTCGACAGAGAAGCGGAGCACCGAAGGATTGGCAGGCAGGCAGTCTAGCCAGGCACCCGTTTGTAATCGCGGGGCCGTCGTCCAAGTTGACCAGGCGCTACCGTGAGGCCCCCTTCGGTTGCGAGCGAGTCCCTCTTTCCTTCCATGAAGAGGCAAAGAGAGCGAGCACGACTTGAATCTGGACCGGGCACCAGACCCAGCGCCCGAGGCGGCCCAGGGCATCCCCAGGGACATCCAGGATGCGATGGAGGACTTGGCGAGGTGGTGGATCCCCGCCGACTGCAACCGCGCGCTGAAGAGCTGGAGGGCAGCTTGCATCCCGCACGTGATGCGGGTGTTGCCGGCACAGGGATGCAACGCTAGTTCGGAACACTTGCCGCAGCGATAACGAGCCAAGAGGATGCGCAGATTGGCAGAGGATATATGCCAACGAGCATGGCTCATCAGTGCGTGGATCTGCAGAGCAGCCAGAGCCCAGGCAGCAAAAGGTGGCATTTTTTGTGGCAGCGCCAGGGCAGCGGAAGTGCACCCGCTCATGGCGGAGTTTCTCGGATCACGGGAACAAGGAGTCGCAGCAGCCGCTCGAGACGGAGACGAAGCAGCAGCCCCAGCACCACCAGCAGCACAGCCACAGCCAGCAGCCCCAGCAGCACAGCCTCAGAGGGGAGGCCGACCTGACTCAGGATGAGGCGAGTGGGGCAACGAGGGCTCCGCGGCGGCGGCGGCACGGGCAGCAGCTGGTCCACCAAAAGGGGAACGGCACGGCGGCGACGCACCTTCTGAAGAAGGACTCGCGCCAGCCCGAGACCGCGACCAATGGCGGGAGCAATTAAGAGCCCATTTTTTTATTGCTTGGGGCATGACGGGCGTCATGGCCTCCGCTCCCCTCCCCCACGACGTGACGCTCCCCCCCCAGTGCGCTCCAGGCACTGCCGCCGTGCGCATTGGGATCCGCGCAGGTGTTCGCGTAGGAATCCGCATAGGAGTCTGGTCCGCAGTCGTCGTCGTCGTCGTCGTCGTCGTCGTCGTCGTCGTCGTCGTCGTCGTCGTCGTCGTCGTCGTCGTCGTCGTCGTCGTCGTCGTCGCTCGTCGCTCGTCGCTCATCGTCGTCGTCGCTCGTCGCTCATCGTCGTCGTTCGCGCGGACGCGGCGGGAGCATGTTTTTCATTCCGGCCGATGACGGCAATCATTTGGTGGGGGGTGGAGGGGGTCGATGACGTCACGTTTCACGCCAGTGGCGTCTTGGAGTGCTTAGGAATGACGGAGGACGGGTAGCACCAGCATGTAGGTGGCGATCTGCGCCACAACGCCTGTGTACACCACAGTGCCTGCGTGCACCACAGCGCCTGTGTACACCACACCGCCTATGTACACCACAGCAGCCGCGTGCAACATAGCGTCTGTTTGTGCCACCGTGCCTGCGGGCACAGACGCTCTTGTGTAGACAGTGCCTGCGTACACCACATCAGTCGTGTGCAACACAGCACCATTGTACACAATAATGCCTGCGTGCGTTGCAGTGCCTGTGTGCAGTACGGCGTCTGTCTGCACCACAGCAACCGTGTGCAACACAGCACCACTGTTGCGTATATATAGTGTTATGAGGAATCTTAATGACAAAATGGAGCGCTTGTGGATTTCACAAAACAATGGAAGGAAATCCTTATGGACAAAGAGCGCCGCTGGAATCTACGAGTCCGCCCACATCACCCTAAATCTTCACGCTTGCGTCCAGGAGGTTCCAGTTGGCCGTCCGAAAACCAAGTGGACCGCTTCAATAAACCATCCTGCGGTGCACGCTGAGATGCGCACGTGCGTTGTAGCGCCAACCCGCACGACAGGGGGTAAGGAGGAGGAGGAGGACAAAGAGAAGGACGATGATGGGGAGGAGGAGGTGGAGGTGGAGGAGGAGGAGGAGGGAGGAGGGAACAACGTCGCATTCGATTATCATCACTTTCCTGGCGTGGCGTTTAGACGTCCGCAGAAATTCCTCACGTACATGCTCCTTCTATCTGTCTTATGCACGCAGGCACTGTGGTGTACACCAGGGTTGCGTTGCACGCGGATGCTGTGGTGTAGACAGGCGCTGTGGCGTGCACGGGCGCTGCGGTGCACGCAAGACTTGTTGTGTACAGAGGCGCTGTGCTGCGCATGGTTGCAGCGGTGTAGACATGTACACGGGCGCTGTAGTGTACGCGAGCAGTGTGGTGTACACAGGCGCTGCGTTGCACACGGCTGTTGCGGTGTACGCATGCGCTGTGGTGTACACGCGCGCTGTGGTGCACGCGAGCGTTGTGGTGTACACAGGCGTTGTGGGGCAGATCGCTACCTACATGCTGCTCGCGTCGTCGTCGTTGTCGTCGCTCGTCGCTCGTCGCCTCGTGCGCGCGTGCGCGGCTGTGGTGCCGGAGCAGCACGGCTGGAGGGGCTTTACGTCATACCCCCCCGCCCCACCCCCATGACGCCTGTCATCGCCGAACAGAAAGAAACGCATTCTCAGGAGTCATGTGGAAAATGGGCCGAAAAAGCCATGTCAGAGCGGATCACCGTCAACGACGCGGGCCAGAGACAGCAGCAGCCGCAGCCAGCGAAACGGCAGCGCACAGCGGCCGACGACCAGCGGGGCAGCCGGCGCGGGCCGTCCATTCGCTTGCTGTTGCACCGGTAGGCCTGCTCGGTGGCACCGCGCCCTGGTCTCCAGCGACCTCCAGGCGTTGGGGGCCTTGCAGGCCATTGGAGGCGGAGGCTGGACGCGGCCGCCGGGAGGCCGCAGGAGGCGGCGAAGGCAGCTGCCTGCCGAGGCGAGGCCGCCGCGTGCCGCGCCGAGCGCATTGAAGTGCCCTCGGAACTGGGTCGGGGGGCGCGACGCGCGACCCCCCGCCCTGAGGCAGCGTCTTAATCAGCGCCCTCCTCCTCCTACTCCTTTCCCTCTTCCTCTTCCTCTTCCTCTTCCTCTGCTCGAGGGGCGGCATCGCATAGCGTAGAGACTACACGTTTTCATCATTCACAGTTGTGGCCATCTTGCAGGGGATAGGAGGCATTGATACTCAGGTATCCTCCTCGTCCTGCTCCTTCCCCTCTTCCTCGTCCTCCCCGAAGTCATGATCGGTGTCATCCTCTTCCTCGTCCTCTTGCAAGGCATCCTCCCCGTCCCCCTCGTCGTCCTCCTCCTCCTCGTCCTCGTTTTCCTCCTTGTCATCCTCATCCTCCCGTTCCTCGTCTTCCTCGCCTTCGTCCTCATCCTCCTCCTTCGCCTCCTCCTGCCCCTCCTCCTCCTCCTCCTCCTCCTCCTCCTCCTCCTCCTCCTGCTCCTCCATCTTCCTTCATCCTTATCCGCCCTTCTGCTCCTCCTGCTTATTATTTTCCCCCTCTTCCTCCTTTTCCTCCTCTTCTTCATCCATTCTCCAAGTTTGTAGGATCATGTTCCTCCTCCCCTTCCTTTTGCTCGAGGAGCGTCAGCGCATAGCGCAGAGACTCAACGTCATCATTCACAGTGGTGGCTAACCTGGAGGGGCTAGCAGGCCTTATATCAGCATATCTTCCTTCTCCTCCTCCTCCTCCCTTGCTCCCCTTCATCCTCCTCGTTTTTATCCTCCTAATTCTCTTCGGCTTCGTTTTCCTTCGATATCTTGACCGTCCTCCTCCTCCTCCTCCTCCTCCTTTTCCTCCTCTTTGTCCTCCTCGTCCTCTTCGTGCTCCGCCTCGCCTCTCTATCAACACCCCTTCATCGTGGTCTTCTTCCTCCTCGTCTTCCTCCCCGAGGATGGGCCTGTAGTTCCAGTTCCCCTTTGTCTTGGGGGAGGTGCCATGTAGCCCAGCGCCCTACAGTGTATCCCAGCAGCCAGCCTCACACAGGCGTGCTCGAATCGCTCTGAACGGCGTGCGAGCCCGCGTTGCAGCAAGATGACGGTCAGGCCAGGGAACCCCAAAGCCTTTGCGCTCGTTTTTCCAAGAACAGTGCTGGCACTGAGGGGTAAGGATTGTGCATGTTCGTCGTCATCACTGGTTGCTGCATCTAGCCCCTGTAGCCTCTGCATGACCTCGCTTGCCCCGATCGTCTTCCGCGCAGGTTGTCCCTGCTCCGGTGATCCAGCACGAGACACCGAACGACAGAGTGGAGTAGGCCAGAGCAGAACAGTGGAACTTGATCACGGTCCAATCTAGTCACTAGTCTGAGATACAAGCACAGTTGAACAAAAGTGGCTAAGTAGGCGCATCAAATACAGGGTGAGCGAACGTGAAACAGGCTCGACAAATAGCAACCCTGCGAGAGACCATTCAGGCCCACCTCGTCGGCCTTTGGCCGGCTGTACAGTTGTACTTTTTGCCATTCGTCTGCGCGCCCGTAATGGGGACGGAAAATATGGCCACGACGCCTAGCGGCAGTATTTGCTCATCTGGAACAAGATTTGTTGCCCCTCCAGGCCTGTCAGACAGCACAATCTGTCATGTGGACAGCTGCTCTTTTCCATTTGACGACATTGTCGGACGGGGCTAGGACGAGGATCAATCCGTTCCAGAGCGTTCCGGAACGCTCTGAGAAGGCCGCGGCGCCCTAGACTTTTTCTGGAGCCGCGGGATCTCAGAGATCCTCGACGATCTATCCTCACCCGAGGCTATCCTCGTTCTGGCTTCGTCTCAATGTGTTGTCCAAGTGGTCCAAAATCGCTGTCATAATGGCAAGAATTGCTGCCGAGTTGGGACATCAAGTTCCTGGGGCATCAAGTTCCTGGAAGTGGCTCGGGCCACTGCGCAACAGGGTCCCCGTTTCCGCCACCCGTAAAAGAGTCGAGGCATCAACGTTCCCCCCTTTTTTACCACCATCGAACCGCTTATAGGGCCATTCGACGACACGAATTGTTACCAGAAAGTTCGAATGACAGGCAGCTCCCTATCCCGGGTGTGCAGAAGCTATGCTCGACGGGGGCCGGCTCGAGGGCGTCAAGGAACTTCGGTGGCAGGGCGGCGTCACAGGCAGTCTCCCTGTCAAAGTCTTGTTTCAGCTTCGTGGTCGCGCCCGCGGGGTCGTACTCGGAAATTGGTGGCGAGCGAGGGGGGAAAGTGAGAAGGAGAAGGCCTTCTCAGAAGGCGGCGAGGCTTCACAGAAGCCCTCGCGCCTCAGAGGTTTTCTGCGTCTTCGGGGGAGGGAGGCTTCGAAAGTTTCTCATAAGGTCGGGGGGCTTCCGCTTCTCAGAAGGCCCCCGGGCTTCCGAGTCTTCCGAGAAGGCCTTTTCCTTCTCACTTCCCGCCCGCGCCCGCCGCGGAAGGTAGAAGCAGCGGTCGATCGGGAGGTGAGGGGGCCGATAGAGGCAATCTCGCGATCCCGCTGCGCGCAGGGGTGGCTTGATGCCAGGAAGCCGCACAACATTATCGCCTGGAACTACGACGACAATCGTGGGCGTCGAACGATTGATGTGCGCCGCCGCCCAGCGCGCGCTCCTGTCTGCCTGGCGGTCAGGGGGAGCAGTTGGGGGGACGGCGTGCCCAGTGGCCGACGCACTTCTGCTGCGTCGGCGGCCGCGTGCCCGGCAGCGCGGCGATCACGGCGGGTGGGGGGTGCACGGCGCGGCAGGCGGCAGGGAAAGAACGGCCGGGAGAGGCAGCGGCCAGGGCGGCTTCGAGCGGACGACGACAGTACGTAAACCACCACACGAGTTCATATGGCAGGTCTTCTCTCTTCTTGCCCCTCTACTCATTATTTCACGTCTTCCCTGTTCGCCTTGCCGTAATCCTTCCCTTGTCCTCGCGGTCCCCGCGCCCCCTCTCTCCCCCACTTTTGTGCTCCTCGGTGCCACCTCTCTGCTCACTGCTTCCTCCAATCCAGCCCTCGTCCATCCTTCTCTCAGGAAGCGCAGGCACGGATGGAGGCGCGCGGATTAGCGGCGTTTCCCATCTCCATGCAGAATCGGCGCGCTCCGCCGCCAAATCGGCAGCCATGTGTTCTACTTTTCGGGGGGTCTCTTCCACGATCCGTTGATCCGGCGCCCACGCGCCAAATTCACGGATCTCTGTAGCACGTGCCCCATTCTCAACAAATCATCCTGAGTATTGCTCTCTTTTCTCCGCCGACTGCGTGCTGTTTTGCATCCGCCTGATCCGCGCATGGCTCTCCACGCAAGAGCTCAGTGTGCGGTGTTTCGCGCGTGCTTTCCTGCTCGTAACGCCCGCGGCCCTATTTGGGAGTGGTGCTTCTACCTCGACGTCTATACCCCTCATCTCCCACCCTCTACGACCTTTCATTGCGAACATGATTCGCCCCCCCCCCCCACCACACCCCACCCCAACATGGACCACGTGTTGTTGTGCAACCTACCCCTCCTCCTCCTCCAGCTCCTGCAGCTCCTTCTCCTCATCCTTCTCTTCTTCCTCCTACCCCCAAGATGGTCCAAGATGGTCCCAGGAGGTCGAGCATGACTCAAGAAAGCCTCCGACAGACCTCCAAGCCTCAAGAGAGCCACAAGACGGTCAAAGAGGCCAAGAATGGCTCAGGATAGCCTCAGGCAGCCTCCTCCTCCTCCTCCTCCTCCTCCTCCAGCTCCTGCAGCTCCTCCTCCTCCTCCTGCTGCTCCTCCTCCTCCTCCTTCAGCTCCTCCTGCTGCTCCTCCTCCTCATTCTCCTCCCCTCTTCCTCTTTCGCTCTCTCTCTCTCTCTTCCTCTCCCTCTCTGGACCACGGGTTGCTGTGCAACCTGCCCCTCGTGATTGTTGCTGGCACAGGATATTTACACATACTGCGGATGTTTCGAAGTAATGCCCCGTCCGCAAAGCCTCCAGTGCTTCGGAGTGGCGCTCTAGCTTCGCCCCCGACCACGGGTTCTTGTGCACTCCCCTCTGCTGCACATAATTACTTGAAGGATCGATGTTGCTGCTGCTTCTGCTGCTGCTCATCCTTCCTCTGTTCCCTGCGCAGGGACAACATAATCAAACTGCTGACCACCGCTTGCTCATCTCAAATGCTCCTGGGCGTTTTTTTGCATGTTCAACGTTGCATCTTGGACATTTAGGTTCTTCGCGTTCAGGTCACAACCGCTAGAACAACTCTTCGTTGTTTTAGCGTTGTCAGGTCTTTTGGTTTTTATTGTCAGAGCCCGCCGTGGACGCTTTGTGGGCTTCCATGCCTGTTTCGCACTGGTGTCAGACCGGTGTCAGAGCGGTGTTTCACAGCTTTCAGTTGTCACGACGAAGCAGAAACAGCTAATGTAATGATTCTCAATACTATAAAACAACGCTGCGTTTGTAGCATTTTCAGCCTGTCAAGAGCCAAACAAGAAACGCAACAAACAGCCCCGGGCGTTTACATGAGCCAAGTGATACCCTGTTGACACTGGATTCCACGTACTGCGTGTAGCCCAGCGGTATATTCAACTTGCGTTTGGCGCGTGTTGCAGCTAACGCTGATAAAAGACTCTGGCCAGACATCCTTACTGGTATCGTGGATCCCTCAGATTTGCATCTTGGAGGCCATGCGCAGAGTAGCATCGGAGCTTGTTGTGGCCTCTTTGGGCCATCTTGAGAACCCCATTGGGACTGCTTGCGCTGTGTTGGAGCTCTCTTGGGCCATTCTTGCAGCCTCCTGGGATTCTCGTGGGCCATGTTGACAGCGTCATAAGGGCAGTTTCCGCTCGCCCCGTTGTGCCCTCGGACTCCCCTCGGATGAGCCTGCGCCCATCTCTGACAAAAATCCACAATATTGGACTCGGTGGCGGGGCGGACGCAAGGGGGGCGGGGAAATCCGATGCCTGATAAAAGCGGTGGGCGCATTTTCACGCAGCAAGGAGCGTAAAATTCGGCGCCGCCCAGCTCTCCAGAGAGCTGAGTGCCGTTCAGAGGTATTTGCCCAGGATCAAGTGTAAAGAGCGAATGCTTGCGGCGATGGCGATCGTGTGCTCCGATTCTGCACGTTCAGCCGAAGGCGACAAAACGGCTCAGGCGATTGGCCCACACCGTGAAGGCCCACATATGTGAGGTCAACAGTACAGCCGGCAAAAACGTGATCTTCAACATCCCAGCCCGTCTGCACATGACGAACAGCATCTACTTGACACCGTTGCTATGCTAGGGTATATGTAGGACATTTCTAGGCATATAGTTGAGAGCGTTGTGAGCCCTGTGGCGTTATACGGATGTGAGTGTTGGGTACCTGGAGAAAAATGCTCCGGAGCGTCTTTTGCGTTGCCAGAGGAAATTCTTGACGCTTCGCGTATCCCCACCAGTCGTTGCTTCCTTGGCCAGTCACTGGTTTCGGATACGATGAATGACACCGGCCCCCCCCGGGCAGCGGTGTGGATCGTGGAGTGAGTGCTCTGTAGGTCCCTGCCGTTGCTCTGCCCCTGTTTCTCCGCCGACCCCGCGTACGGCGGTGGTGTTCGGACTTCGCGCTGAGTGGTTCAGCCTTCAGCGTTGTAGTTTCGGTTATCATTGCCTGCTGTCGGCTAGGGGAGCTGCTCGGAGCTTGGCGCCGACAGGGCGACTTTCTCCGTTGCACTCGCACTGCTGTCCGCCTCACTTCGGTGTGGCCAGCGCCTATGTGCGTTTGCCTTAATGCGGAGCATTTTGCCCAGTGCGTGTGCACTCCACGCATCGCGTGTAATTTGCCGTGTTCCGTTGCCCCGGGCATCGCTGTTGCCGGCAGACCGTTGTCGCGCGGCCGCCGACCAAAAAAATATCCCCACCAGCTCCTGGCCTGCGATTCCCGCATTTCCCCACCAGCCTGATTCAGTTTGGCCTGGCAATTTGATGCATGTCGGTGATGGTGGACCGCTTCCGACCTCCTGGCCCTGGCGCCCCCAGCTCACCGCAGCGCAGCTCGGCGGCTTAGGCAGCTTAGGTTTGACCCCGCGCTCTAGTTTGCTGCTCGCTGTATATTAGTAACGACCGCGCCCCGGACTTACCGACCCGCCGCCTGCGCCTTCGCTTGCGACCGCGAAAAAAGTATCCCCACCAGCCCATCCGCAATAGATTGCCAGTTTTCTTGAGGCCTCTTGGAGGCTATCTTGAGCCATGCTCGGCTAGAGGCTGTCGGAGGCTATATTGAGCCATGCTCGGCTATCTTGGGCCATCTTGAGGCTGCCTTTCAGGCCTCTTGGAGGGTTGTCGGAGGCGATCTTGAGCCACGCTTGGCTATCTTAGGCAACTTTGAAGGTCATCTTGGGCTATCCGGGGCTCTCTTGGAGCCATATTGGGCCAAAAAGGGCGGGGTGGAGGGTCTTTGGGAGAGGCTGGGAGGCCTCTTGGGGCCATCTTGGGCCCCATGGCTCAAAAAGAGGAGGTCCCTCAATTTGCATCGCCCCCTTGGAGGCTCAAAAATAGCGTCTTGGGTTTTTTTTTGGCCGCTCTTGGGCGCCTCTTGGGCGATCGTGGGGCCGTCTTGGGCCTTTTTGGGCTCCTTTTGGGGCTCTCTTGGGCCATCGCGGGGCCATCTTGAGGGCCCAGAGGCCCATCGGAAGCGAAAAGGCGAGAATGCCAAAAACATTGATTGTCCCTTAGGCTTTTGAAGGGTTTTGGCATGTTGGAGGGCGCCGTGGAGGGCTCGAAGGGCACTTGGATCCGCCATGGGGCTGTATTGGGGCCTCTTGGATGTATGTCGGAGGCTATTTTGGCCCATCTTGGAGTACCTTGGGCCATCTTGGAGGCCATCTTGCGACTTGGAGCGCCTCTTGGAGCCATCCTGGGCCATCTTGGACGCTGCGGCGCCTCCGGCCCCACCCCCCTTCCAGGTCCAGGGGAGGGGGTAGGGGGAGGGCTACACCCCTCCCCCGAGCAGGGGAAGGAGGGGGAAGAGAAAATAACAAATTCGCTATACCACCGTAGCCCTAAAGGGTCGGTGGGATACAGCATCTTGGGTGGAATACGTCAAACGCTCCACGCTGGCAGTGGAAACATATTGCAGCAAGTTCAACATCCGACGGTGGACCACCATCCAATCCGCTAGAAAGTCGGAGTTTGCAGCCCGCGTATGCTTTGACACGGAGAACAAATGGAGCAAACGACTCTTGAAGTTAACGCCGTGGTTCCGGACGGTTGATAGACGAAGCGTCGGCCGACCACGGTTGCGGTGGGAAGACTCTCCGAGGGCGTGATGTTTGCATGTTTCACACGTTGTGCATGTGCATGTGTTCCCCTCCCTTCCCCCCCTCCCCTTCCCCCCCTTCCCCCCCTCTCCCTCGCCCCTTTTGTTGTTTCTGTCGCGCTGCACACGTTGTCGCTTATGGGTGGATAAGAGATTGCCCACGCGGCGTTTGGCCGTTCTTGCGCGAGATCATTCGTCTGCCCTCCAGGGGACCGCTCCGGCACCGGAGCTGGCATGCAGACCGCCTCCCTCCTTTCTCACTCTTACCCTCTATCTCCATCGTCTGTCATCCTTCGGCTCTGGTTCTCTTTCATCAATACGAGCGTCCTTTCAGTGCCGTATTCAAATCCAGCAATTCCTCCGTCTGTGGTTTTTCCTCCTCCGCTCATGATGTGCATCTACCGCTCCTGTTGCTATGCATGTTCCTTCTTCTCTCCTATCACCCCTCCCCCCGTCCTCGTGCTCCAGATCTGGCACGTGCACATCTACTTCCAGGGTGCAGGCAGCTGCATGGGCGATATCCTTTTTGCTCCATGAATATGACAATGGGGGACACGGTACACGGGTGGTGGTGACAGGGAGGAGGATGAGGATGTGAGGGTGAGGAGATTATTCAATCGCTTCGCTCATTCCGCGGGACCATATTGCCTCGCCGCTGTCGTTTGTCGGGGTGTTGCTGTCAATGCGGTGCGGTTGGGCGGCTGCCATTTTTCGGAGGCGGTGGGTGGCGGGTCAGAGGCCTCACGGATGTTGGTTGGGCTCTCGTGGTTGGCTTCTCAGGGGCCTTTGGGAGGCAGTTTGAGGCTTTTTGGGGGCCGTGTTGGGGCCTCTTGCGGCCTCTTGGGGGCCTTTTGGGGTTTCTTTGGGTGCCTCTTGGGGATCCCTTGGGGCCTCTTGGGGGCCTCTTGGGGCCTCCTGGGGCCTCTTGGGGTTGAAGGCCGGACTTTTCGGTTCCTGCTCCCCTTCTTGTGCCCTCCTTGGGGCTGTTTTGGGGCTCTCTTGGGCGCCTCTTGGGCGCCTCTTGGGCGCCTCTTGGTCTTGGGTCGTCTTGGAGCCCTCTTGGGCCCTCTTGGGCGCATCTTGGACATGTTGGGCCATCTTGGGGCGATCTTAGGGTGCTCTTTGGCAGTCTTGGACGCTGTGAACCTCCTAACGTCGTCTATGCTAGAAATGCCCGTTTTCGTCAGGAAATGAAACGACTTGTGCTTGTTGGGGCCCTCTTGGAGAACCTCTTGAGGCTCGTCTTAAAGCAATGCTTCGGCGACTCGGGGCCCCTTAAACCGTCTTCTTGGGCGTCGTCGGCCGATCTTTCGAGGACTCCAGGGGCTCTTGCACCGTCTGGGGTACCTCGGGCATCTCTGACGGGCACTTGCCGGGGACTTGCCGGGACCTTGGCTGGGTACTTGTCGCGATGGGGCCCCCAGGGGCCGCCTCGCGCGCGCGCGAATTTGTTATATTGTTAACTTGTTACCGGAGATCTTAGCACGCCTCTGGTCCGTTGGGCCGGCGAATTTGAGGCGAGAGAGATGAATGAGGAGGATGAGAAGGAGGAGGGAGAAGCACGAGGCAGCGGCACCGACTGATGGCGACGGCACCGATGCCGAGATTTGCACTCTGCGTGCTTGCAGCATGCTGCAGCCGGACGCCCGTCTGGGCCGATCAACAGCACGAGCTTGAACAAAGGACGTGCCCAGTACATCCGGAAGAGGAAGTCGACGGCGGTGAGTCAGAGACACTTTCTTAGTCAGAGGCCGCATGACTTACGCATCGTTCGAGCGACGGAGGGACACTCCAGGTGCGAATTGGAGCATTGAACGGGGGCGGCGGGGGAGGAGGGTGGGCGCGGGGGAAGTTGAAACCGCGCTCAGAGCATGTAGTCCTTGTGCGCGAGCGCCAGAGGTTGCAATAGGTTGCACAGCGAAGTGGTAGTCCTTGGCGTGTCAGAGGAACAAGGCGACGCACGGTCAAGATGGGGGCCGATGCGCTCGAGTTCGTGTGCGGCTCTTTCCTGCCAGGTGGAGCGCGTGCGCGAGCGCTTGGAGATTTCGTGCATGTGCAGATGGTGTACGAGCGCAAATCTGTGGTTTATAGGCAGCACGCAGGTTTCGATGTACGTTTTCAGGCCCAGATTGCTGATGATGATGATGATGATGATGATGATGATGATGGTGGTGGTGATGATGATGATGATGATGATGATGATGATGATGCTGCTGATGATGATGATGATGATGATGATGATGACGATGACGATGTTGATGTTGATGCTGATCTGATGATGATAAAAATGATAATGATAATGTTGATGATGATATGATGGTGATATGATAATAGTGATGGTGGTGGTGATGGTGATGGAGATGATGCTGATTGCGGTCATGATGATGATTATGATGATGCTGATGATGATGATGAGGAGGATGCGGATGCTAGTGATGGTGTGAATGCTGATGATGATGATGGTGGTAAGGATGATGGTGATGCTGATGATGATAATGATGACGATGATGAGGAGGAGGAGGACTATGATGATTACGATGCTGATGCTGATGATGCTGTTGATGATGATGATGATGATGATGATGATGATGATGATGATGATGATGATGATGATGATGATGATGATGATGATGATGATGATGATGATGGTGGTGGTGGTGGTGGTGGTGGAACTGATGATGGATGATGCTGATGCTGATGCTGATGTTGGGGAGGAGGAGGAGAAGGAGGAGGAGGAGGATGAGGATGATGAGGATGGCGAGGATGACGAGGATGACGATGATGACAAGGATGACGAGGATGATGGGGATGACGAGGATGATGAGGAGGATGATGATGACGACGATGATGATGACGCTGATGATAATGCTGACGATGCTGATGACGCTGACGACGAGGAGGAGGAGGAGGAGGAGGAGGAGGAGGAGGATCATGATGAGGATGACGAGGATGACGAGGATGCTGAACGGGTGATGATGATGGTGGTGATGATGAGAATGACGATGATGATGATGCTGCTGCTGATGACGATTCGGATAATGATGATGCTGGCGATGATAATCGTGATGATGGCGACGACGATGATGATGGCATTGATGATGGCGATGATGTTTATAATGATGATGATGGTGGTGATTGCGATGATGACGGTGATGATGATGATGATGATGATGATGATGATGACGATGACGATGATGATGATGATGATGCTGCTGATGATGATGAGGATGATGAGGAGGATGATGATAGTAATGGTGGTGGTGATGATGATGACGATGATGATGATGATGATGCTGATGCTGATGATGATGACGATGCTGATGGTGATGATGTTGTTGATGATGATGAGGATGATGAGGAGGATGATGATAGTAATGGTGGTGGTGATGATGATGACGATAATGACGATGGCGGTGGTGGTGGTGGGGTGGTGGGGTGGTGGTGAGGTGGTGGAGATGAAGTTGATGCTGATGCTGCTGCTGCTGCTGCTGATGATGATGATGATGATGATATTTCTTCTGCTGCTGATGATGATCGGTGGTTGATGATTGATGAAGGTGGTGATGGTAGTGGTGTGGAGGAGGAGTTGGAGGAGGAGGAAGAGGAGGAGGAGAGGATGAGAATGAGGATGAGAGTGAGGACGAGGAGGGGGAGGAGGGGGATGATGATGAGGAGGATGAGCGAAAGGAACCGATTTCGCGGTTGTCCCGCCACCTCTGCAGCGACAGCGAGTTCCAGCGCCGAGATAGAACACCAGTCACGTACCCCCGCCGCAGCCTGGTCTCACAGTCTTGCACAGCCCACGCTCAATCGTCCTGTCAGCCAGCGGCTAAAAGCAAGCCCGCCTGTAGTCGCAGACCCTCAACGCTAAGTCATTGCTTGAGGGGGAGGCGGGCTAAGACATGTTGTTATTTTCGGTACTGTGGCATATTCAGTTGCATTAATTTGGTCTGGGAGCTTCATTCCACGTCTGCAGAGGTGGTTTCCACATGCGGCGAGCTATTGGTTGATTGGTCGATTGCTTGGTCGGTTGGTTGGCTGGCTGGGAGTGCAAGTCATTCTGAAGCTGAAGTGATCATGTTTCTGGACCTCGCATCTAGTTGGTTGGCAGTCGGCAGAATTTAATGGGGCAAGCGTGGAGAACAAAACGAAGAAGCACTATGTTTGCGACCTGCGTCGCCTTGCGCTGCGCAGAGCGCGAGACAGAGGAAGCATCAACCGCACACAGATGTGGCTCGTTGAAATGGCGAGGCCTGGGGACCAGCGACATATGAAAAACAGATCCGCGTCCTTCGGTGCACGCACAGCGCAGCGCGCGAGGCAGAGCGGGGAAACATGAGATACAGTCATCGCTCCATGAAGTGGCCAGGGTCGCGCGGGGCTTGGACCAGGATGCATCTCTCAGGAGCGCTCTCAGAGCGTTCCGGAGCTGTCTGGAACCGTCGCGGCGCCCAATACGTCTTCCAGAACCGCTGGATCTCAGAGACCCCTGTTGTCCCGATCCGATTGCGAAGGCCTTACGGCCAGTGCCGCCGACCATGAAGGGGGACGACGGCGACGGCAACGACGACGACGGCGACGGCGACGGAGACGGCGACGGCGACGGCGACGACGAAGGCGACGGCGACGGCGACGGCGACCGGCGGCGACGGCGACGGCGGCTGCGGCGGCGACGACGACGGCGGCAACGACGACAACGTGGACGACGGCGGCGACGACGAGGACGAGATCCCCGGTCCGATTTTGTCCCAGCCCTGGGCCTCGCCTTGGAGGGTGTGGAGAGGCCGCCGCTCGCCGTCTTCGCGGGAGCCCTCGCGCTCCGCGCGGCCGTGCCTCGGCGGCGGCGCTCCGCCAGGCCTGTGGCAGGACTCGTCGCCGTCGAGGGCCGTCGGCCGTGGCGTCGCTCCGTGGGAGGATCGTGCGGGCAAGGTTCAAATCCGTGTCCACGGCGTCTTGGCCTCTCTGGGACATGGATAACCGGTCTAGCCTTCAGGGGCCAGGTTTTTATCCATGTCCACTGCGCCTCTGGTTTCGGAGTACAAGTCTTGTCCGCAAATCGGCCGCGCGCTGGGACGCTCTGAGAAGGCCGCGGGGCCTGAAGCATTCTCCGGAACCGCTGGATCTCAGAGATTCTCGGTTTATCCTCGCCCGAATTTGTCCTCGTCTTGGCTTCGTCCCAGCAGACCTCGCTCGATGATCGAGCGCGGGCGGTTGGCGGTGGACGCAGCGAGCGCAAACACGGATTGAGGCGCGTGGGTCAGCGACGCGCCCCGCGTCCAACGCGAAATCGGCGCGCTCCGCCGCCGACTCTGGCGGCATGCTGCCGGGGGGCGCTCTCCCCGATCTGTGGATCTGGCGCCCGCGCGCCAGATCCACGGATCCGTAGTCAGATGTAGTTCGTAGTCCACCTCAGCGTGCGCGTACCCAAGCGGAGAAGAGATCCAGAGGATCAAGCCTGCGCCCTGCGTCGGCAGCACTCTGCGCCGCGCACAGCGCGGAAAA